AAAAGAAAGAAAGAAAGTGAGAGAGAGAGAGAGAGAGAGAGAGAGAGAGAGAGAACGAGCGTGAGAGAGTGCGAGTGAAGGAAAGAATGAACAAGAATGCGAGGGCGAGAGAGAGAGAGAGAGAGAGAGAGAGAAAGAGAGAAAGAGAGAAAGAGAGCGAGCAAGAGGAAGAGAGAGAGAGAGAGAGAGAGAGAGAGAGAGAGAGAGAGAGAGAGAGAGAGAGAGCGAAAGAGCGAGAAAATGAGGGAGAGAAAGAGAGAACGTAGACGAGCTCCTCCGTTGAATGACATTCATTACTATTAAACAAAATAAAAATATGGATTATTTGCACAATATTATAAATAATTACTATGTTTACTATGATTATTAAATTAAAGAGCAAATAATAAAAGGAATAAAAAAACTGTTGTTAAATAATTAATACGAAAAAGGGGATTGTACGAACAAAATAAATAAACGAAACGATTTAGCTGAAGACAGATATCAGATTTAAAAGATTAATAATATTATTAATAACAGGTAAAAGTAAAGAGTAAAAAAAAAGGTAAATGAAAAGAAGACGAGAGAAAAATAGGAGAGAAAAGAAAAAAATACAAAGTTTAAAGAAGTGACGAGGATAATATGATGATGAAGACGAAGGAAGGATGGAGGAGGAAACGATTCGTTTGTTATCGATTAGTTAACGATCATCCTTACATTACATTATTGTAATTATATAAAGTAAACGATTATTACCGTAATAGTTACAATTAACAAGTTGTTACCGCTTTGTTATACATAATATAATTAATATACTAAGATTAAAAGAAAAGAAAAAAAAGTGAAAAAAAGAAAAGTAAGCGAATGCATCGTTGATTCGTCCTTTACTTATGTAGATAACTAAATAACGATTCGACTCTATTATTGTTTTCAATGTCTTCACCGTATTCCTTCGTTTGCTACCCGATTTCGTTTCGTTGTCGATAAAAAAGAAAACAAAAAGAAAAAAAAACAAAAACAAAAAAAAAAACGATTCGGTTTTGTCGGCTTACCTCGCCCGGCCACAATATACACACGTTTTACAGAGATATTTTCAATAAACGAAAAAGCTTAACACTCATACGGTTGTTGTCCTTGTCATCATTTGACCCTGTTGATCATGTAGCGTCCATACATTTCTATCTGGCTGTCTGAATCGACATCCTTGAGACTTTCACGGCTCCAATGCTTTCAATCTGTGCTTACCGAAATTTTTAACTGTGATATTTTATAAGAGTTCATAACGTTTCATTATCATTGCAATTAACTACGAGATAACTAAGCGATATATATATTGACTAGTAATACTTTATTTTTTATTAATATTCTGACACTTATATTAACGATGGTGCTTTCCGCTATTAAGATCAACATTAACATTGTACAGAAACGGTACCGATAACGATAATCTCGCAATACTAACACATTGAAAATTATACATATAGTACTTATACATTCGTATCGCATGTCATCCTCATATTCATACTACTAGCTTACTTTTACACTAAAGATCTCACATCTCATAATTGCAGAGCGTTTCGAAAAGCAAGATTTCGAAAACATCGATTCTCAATAAAGACGTTACTATATCCTGGTCCTTCAAATTTTTGCCCGATGTTCTTCGTATTTTATAAACATGTTTTCTTCGAAACAATCGACTGGTCACGTACTTGGACTGAAACATCAGAAGCTAATTTCTTAACGAGAACTTCGCACGTACTGTGTGATAAATTTTTCTAAACATCGTCCGCGAAACGACCAATTTATTTTCAACGAATCAGCGACTTTTCAAAAAAGCGTTTATTAATGCCAACCATCAAAATACCATGGATTTGCCCTATTGTTCTAGTTTTCCACACAACCGAAAATTACGTGCCTCCCCTTTGACTCAAGATGATTAATCCTACTTTCAGATATAAATAAACACTCGCGTTATAAAAAGATCGCCACCGCTATTTTCAGCCACGTTGATCGGCGCTATGTCGATTTTTTCGCCTACCGAGTCTTTTGCCACGCACGAAATAAAGGTTCTTGTCCTGAATTAACGCTGAAAGCGGCTTTCTCCTTGCTGCATCGACGAGGTATGTACGTACATCATGCCCGGTGTCTTTGGCCAGCCGTATATGGCTCTCTGGACCCGAATGATGCAGCACGAATACCTAATTTCGAAAGAATAACACGGTCGCCGAGACGTTTCGAACACCACATGTGACCCACCGCGTCTGCACGAACGATCCTTGAAGACATAACTTTCATGAAACGCACATTGCACTCGCCTTTTCCCAATCGTTTTTTTTTTTCTTCCTCCTTTTTATTTTTTGTATCCGGATCGTTCTTAAAATAACCGCGAACGTTATTGGATTTCGCGCACGCTCTCAAACGAGACGCGCGTAGGAAGAAGAAAACAGGAAAATTGATCCGAGAGACTTTAGTTCATTTAGAAAACATTTCTTTGTTTTCATAAGACGGAACTTGGATATCGGGGCGATTTTTTAAACATTTGATAACGAAAGATGTTCTTGATCTTTGTGGATCCTCTGGGAGAACCTTTTAAAGATTAATGGAAGATCGGCGAAAGAATATGAAAGGAGAAATAACGAAAATGCTTAAGGATACGAATCAAGATATAAATAAATTTTTTAATTATAATGATAAGTATTTTTTGTTTTTCATATATTTCCTGATTCAAGTTATAAGTTAATGGCACAGGAAGAAGTAAAACAAACATTTCAAAATATAAATTTTTTAAACATATTAATAGAGAATCTTTCTAATGTATTTAACATTGGGAAACTCTAAAATATGAAATGTATATATATATATATATATGAACGTTTTAAAATGTAATAAAAAGAAAATACAAAAATTTATATTCCTCTTCATCTTTTCTTTTACTTTTTAATTGAAGGAATTACATTAGATTGTTAAGAGATTTCTTCGTCGTTTAACGCTTAATAAAAAGATGTATAAATTATATTTTTCCACCTTGTTAACATGACAAATAGTATACATCTTATAGGAAGTATAACAAACGACAGTTGTTTCACAGCAGCAGCACAAACGATTCAGCTCTCTCTCTGAAGAAAGATATCGAGCATTCCGACGACTTTAATTCACCTTGTACGTGACAACCTTACTTTTCCAAATGCTTCGTAAAATTACACGAAGCTGTAATAATTCCTTTGGATCAAGTTACGTCACGATTTGATATAATTTTACCTGAATTTTGTATACTAAGTAAACTGTTTTAAATTTACACGTATTTTACTCGTGATATATTCTTATAATATTTAAATGATAGAACAAATTTGAAGGCGAATAGAAACGAATAGAACCAAATATGTATAAAAAATTTTCAATCCATTTTGGTATAAGAAATACAAACTATTCGATAGCAAATTATGAAGTGTATTAAAAAATTCATCAATTTTTTAGACACTCATACATATGAGAACAAGTTGATTGAACTTGTAAAAAAATGTAGGTCTTATATAATTGTATGCAATTTAGAGTGATGAAAGCGCGAAGTGCTTCACTTCGTTTATAAAAGGTAGTTGTAACTTTAAATGCTTTGTTAAAAAATAATTAACGTGATTCGGCACAAGTACGTGCAATTTATTTCATTTACTTTCAGTAGCGATATTAACCTGAGTTTACAAGTCAATTAATTTTTATTAAAATTTCAATTTTGAAATAAAAGCAGACGTTCGAGTTCAGTTCAAAATTAAAATATGTCAGCTGTGAGCATAAGAAGCATTTCTATTTATAATATTGCTTCGTGGTTTGTCGTCCGTCTGACGTAATTCAAATGTGGAATGCAAAATAATTTGAAGCTGCATCCCAGGAGCAACTCGATGCCGTAAGTTCAAGGTTTCTGTGACTCAGTACGAGTATTAATTTATTTATCACTTGTCAGTATATAATATTTTTACAAAAAGAGTGAACAAAGTATCTTAATTCTTATTGCACTCTACAGGAAAAAAAATGTTGGTATTACGTGACAAATATAACTTTATGAATTAAGAAAATTATAAATTATGTTGAAAGAACCGCTTTCATAAATTCCTTTCAACTCTAGCCGAAGAATAAGAAATTTCTAAGATGAACTTCATATCACATGTTCTGAAATACCGACCTAGAAAAAATTCAGGATGTTTCTTACGCCCTCTGCGATTTATTACGGTGAACATAAGAATTATGTTCAGCTCAATAGTCGAAGACTATAAAGTGAACAACAGCTAGACAGTGCACGTAAGACGAAAATTTACAATTTGAGATACAACAGATTCCTAAATTCGTTTATTTTAGATTTAAATTTATGGTTGAAAATATGAATACGACTCTTCTGATTTTGAATTTGAATTTTACGGTGATAATGTTGGTAATGGGTCAGAATTATTCCAGATGTAGTTCAAATACATTAAGTTACAGGTCTATTTTATATTTTATCTATGGTAATTTGGTAATGCAATAGTGATGTTTACAGTATTTACACTGAAGTTCTTCATATTCTGTCATTAACGAAATTGACATTCTTACAAGTACCAATTCTATTTCTTTTAATACATGTATATGTATATATGTACAAATATGCATTAGCAGAATAGCAGAATAAGCACTATAAGTCACTCAAAGCCAACTCAGACAACACTTAGTAGATATTTATACATATGCATACATATTACTATATCCACATACATATACATACATATTTATCAGTCACAATTGCAATAAGCTGTTTTGAATTTAGCAAATAATATCAAGTTCTACAAGAAAAGTTTGACAAACGTATGTAGTATATTCTTAAACTTGGTATTATTCTCAACCAAACGTGCAAACCAAATAGTACACACATCTCACAGACAAAACAAATTTCTATTCATTAGAAACAAAGTGTCTCACTCTATTGTTGACTTCCTATATGAATATCTACAGAACACAAATATCGACAATTTAATTCTAATGACGCTGAAGCGGATCTTTTAAGTCAAGTAGATGGATATGTGCATCTGCGATGCGTGGGTGCACAAGATGCGTACACGATTTACCATGCGTGATTCTGCGCGAGAGTATGGGAGGAGGTTGGTGTAATGGGTGGGGTCTAAACGATGAATCCCTTCTCTTCTCATATCTGATTCGATCTGATTCGAGTCAGTTTCGCGTAGTCCACTCCACCAGTGTCCTTTGTGTTCGACGTGTGCTGCACGTTCGTCGATGTCCATGTAATGGCAGCGCCAACTAAGCGCCAGGCAAAAATCAGTTACAGATCGTAGTCTCGAAACTAGTCAAAGACCTCTCTCAAGCGTAACTGTTTCTTTATTTCGAGTCGTCGAGAATCATAGAAACCTACTTGTTAGTCGCAGAAAGTGAAGTCGAGATACTGCTTTTGTAGTTCATCTGTCAAGATAACCGTATTGCGAAAGGCTACACAGGCGTGGAGATTTTATCAACGTTATCAAAGAGTACTGCACTGGCTGTACTGACCTCAGTTGTAGTATCGCGATTTTTATGTTGTGGAACGTGAATAGAGCTTTGTGACTGACATTCTCGAATCACACAGGGGAACATTTTTGGCAAATGTACAGAAAATTCGCCCTTCGCCTAATACTTATCTGAATCATTCAGCCAACTGTCTGTATGGAGGTTAGCGGATAATATTCTATTTATATACTACATATACGTAATGGTATATAATTGTTTATAATGGAGACCCTGTTTCAAGGTGTTCACTGTGTAAACATATCGGTATTGGGAATTGAAGATTTGCTGCTTGGATAGAATGTAATCCGTTTGTTGGTTATAAGTGATTGCGTTCGCATTTTTATACATTTTCTGCATTTATATATATATATAGTGTATATATACATATTCATATATATTCGTAAGTAAAATCACGATTGTTGAAATTGAATGTGTAATTGTTAGACTGTGGATGTTTATGAATTTATGAAAAATTTATACATAACGGACTATATGCAAAATTACATAAAGTATTCGTAATAGAATATTTGTATTTAACGAGTGAAACGAATTTCTATTTAGATTTCCGTAAATATGATGAAATTAATTAAATTTATATAAATATCCACAGTCTAGCTATTGTAGCTATTAATGTAATTAATGTTATACTAATATCATAATAATTCATAAATTTGTTAGGTGATACTTTTATCAAATAGTATGAAGTTTTGGATCTTTGAATATTAATTAATCTTGAATTTTTTAGGTATATTTAATGAAATAAATTATTTATTCATAATGGAAAAGAGGAGTATTAGTGGAAAGGATATTCTAAGAATGGATGGACTTTTGCCACCGACCCGACGCTTACCTGTCTGTAATGCTGTGACTTCTACAGACAAAAAAAAAGATAAAAAGTGGTCAATCGGTGGAATATTAAAACGTATATCTTCAATAAGGGATTACGATAGTTCTTCCAATGATGAAGAAATTGTATATTGTACGAGACAACCAAGACCTTGCACAGTATTTAATAGAAAATCAAATAATGTTGTCCTCCATCCAGTTGAAAAAGGATCAAATCAAAACTTAAATGACGCTGTTGCAAAATCTCTGGATACAACAAGTTTGCAAAGGGATTCTTTAAATTCTCGTAGTAGTGATGGATCCTTGGATGGATTAAGTAAAAAGGCCAGGAAAAATAAATTGAAAGCACAAGTAGAAGCAAAAAGAGATCGCATTTGTGCAGATAGTAGTTCAGATGAAGATTCACGTAAATCCTGTAACTCATTGACAAGATACCAGAATGAACTTGCTGGACATAGTACACAGAAAAATAGTTCTTGCAATAGAAAAAGTCGTGCGGCACGTACAGAACGTTATATAAAACGTTTAACTAGAGACGAAGGTCATAAGTTTCAAGAAAACTTAAACAATATAGCAAATAAGCGTAACAGTCATGATTTCATGAACGAGGAACAATCATCTGTAGCCATGGATGCAAATGAATTATTTCGGCTTCCACAACAATCATCACACTTCACCAGTTATTCTAATAGTAATACTTTCCCTGTACAAAGATCTGCTGAAAACTTACGACAATTTGGTATGGTCGCATCCAATTTGCAAGCAAGATCATCTAGCGATCTTACAAAACATCCGTCAAGCCAGTATATTACAGATTTAAATCAAAATAATACTTACGCGAAACCAAATGTTTTGCACAAAAATAAGAATCAAGAAAATCAAGAGGAAAATTACTTTTTCGATTTACCCGCGACTAGTACAATTTACGCTGATCCATATGATTATCTGAAAAACCGACAATTTGCAAGTCGAAGTTCTTCGCCACCCGAGCCTCCACCGAGGGACCCACGTTGCCGAGTTTTCACTTATGGTTGTAATTCCCTTCCGTTTAGTGGAAAGTATCACGTAACAAAATACGACGATACCTTGCGTATTAAAATGAACGATATTCATGAAGTTACCAAGGATCATTTAAAGAGTTTAAGATCCTACGAATCAAATAACGAAATCAGTTGGTGTGGCTCGGCAAAACAGTATCCGCGACGTCCATTGTCTCTGACTGTGAGTTCGACGCAGTCTTGTAATTTATCAGAGTGTACAAACAATAGACACAATTCGACAGGTCGACATATAGATGAACCATTGTTTAAAGAAACGGAAGCGATGAAATGTCAGAGGAGAAATGATCGCAACGATCAGCTTACTTCAACCTTTAAAGATTATGATACCAAAATGCGCGAAAACAGATTATCTACTACTTATATCAAAAATATGCGCAATAATTCTGTATCGCCTATTTTTAATAAATCTTCAGATTGTTCCTGTACGAGATCACCGACCAAACAGGTGGTGAGAGAAAATTCTTATAATTTACCAAATGTTACATTTATAGATAATATGAGAAATGAAGAGAAAGAAGAGAAACAAGTAATTAGTGAACAAGATGCGATGGAAAGGAAAAGAAGTTCCAAAAATCTTGAGGAAGCGCTTTCTGAGTTAGAAGCAATATACAACAGTCTTCGCCTTGGAGACGAAGATCTATTAGATCGAGCAGAACGACGGAGTATGGAAGAATTTAGTCTACGTCAAGTAAAAACTAACACTGCTGTTCCGTTTATTTCAGAAGATTCAACAGACAGAACAAAAGACGATATGGCTTACAGAAGAATGCACCCAAAGGAGAGGCCGACATCGTTGTCGGAAGTGGTTGGCCAATCTGCACTCTCTAATATCAGTTACCTGATAGCCTCGCCCATATTATCACGCAAAGACACAAGTGATAATTATCTGTACGCCGCGAATTATCCAACGCGGCGAGACGAGCCGGATGTAACGCGGGACGACGTTGTTTATCGGAGCATTAATCGTGCTAATAACACATTGAAAGTGATCGATCCGCAACCTCCGTTCGGAATACCTTTAGGACCGGTAACGGCCGCTACGGAAAGCGACTATTTACACACTACACCGACTAAACCAGATCATCCTCGTTCATCGTACATACCACAATGCGAGCCTGACATTGTTACAGATGACTTGGCTTACCGAGCTCTCAGGAAGGATGCCAACACATCGAAGAGCAGTGTCGAAAGTAAAAACGGCATCGCTATAGATCAGGAAACTACTTTTGGTACGAAGAAAAAACGAGCGGTTAGATCTCTATCTGCCAATCTATACGGTTTAATTAATCACGATAGAATTCATCTTAGGAGAGAACCTAGTCTTCAAGAGATCAAGAACGAAATAGATAACACTATAACAGATATCAAGTCGTTGTCTGTACGATCAGATAGGCGTGTCGTAAGCGATGGTGAACTCTCTGATTACGACCGATGTCATACTGATAGTTTATTGAGGAACTCTAACACTGATATAAACGGAAACCGTCCAATTACGAATACGCATAGAAAAAAATTGCGCGTTTACGTTTCACCATCGACTCGAATGCAAGACGATAATAAAACTGAGGATAACGCAAGAGCACAAAACTCCATGACATCTACTGACGTATTGTCAAAGGCTCTCGACAATGAATTCTGGCAGGATTGCGTACAGAACAAATCAAACGAGTCGTCTAATCAAGATACGGAAACTGATTTTACGGCGTATAGTCGTCTGTGCCAAGATTTAGTCAATTTGATTGAAGGGCAAGACGATATGGAAGTGAAACCGATTGAGGAAACGAATGTTCGTTCAGAGCTTCCTGTAATAACAGACATCTCAAATGATAGTAATAAGACGGAGGAATCCATACTGCGTATTCAGTCCTTAGGTAGTCATTATTCAGAAAATAATATCGAAAATTATAAAGAAGATAGGGATAAAGAGAACACAGGGAATTTAGCGACGGAATCCCTCGCTAAATCTGAGAACGAATGTTTTGAGAAGACTGACGATAATACGTTCGATTTCTATCTTCGTGTCGCGGACGAAAATGTTAAACTAATTGCGGAGGCGTTTAGCAGCGTGGCAGATCACTTACGTGATAGTCGTTTAAGCCAAAAGAATTCGTCGCACCGTTCCGAAATAGAAACCGATAGTACGGCGCCCAATACTAGTACTCGTAGCTCCGCTACTAGTAGTCTAGACGATACGAACGATGACCTGTCTTATTCGCCAAGAATCACTGATGCATTAAATGTAGTTCCTAAAGAAAATACAACGATAATCTCAAACGAGGACCACAACTTAGTAAGGCCGGAAGATGTGAAAAATGATTTGCATATCGATCCAGAACTCGATCTATCCAAAGCTGTTCATGATTTACAATTAGCAGCAGCAAGTTTATGCGAGCATGAGAAAGAAATTGAAGAACTAGAAGCATTACTAAAAAATAACGTTGCAACAAATAACGTTTCTTGCAGTAGTAACACTGAAATTAAAGAGGATGTTTCCTTGCTGAATATTGAAAGCGATTTAATGCCGCCAAGTGACGAAAAAGAGAAAGAACACGATGATGAAGAAACTGTAATATCAACCGATAAACCGTGCATTGATGAACGTGACCCAAATTGCGAAGGTGAGAGTACAAAATGCAAGGATATTTGTGAATCGTATGACATTCTTTGTTCGACTGAAATGCCAATATCGTATGTAACTAACCTCATAACCATACTGATAACTACATATTCTATGGTTTTGCTGGCTTGTTTTCTTGCACTGCTTTTAGCGAGTGTAGCAGCATCATGACTGGGCCCTTAACGACAAGTGTCTTAATGCATTTTGTAATTAGAAGGTTTGATTCGAAGCGTTTGTCATTAGTTCGAAGCTATTATTATTTGAATCATGTTACTAATGTCGTAGGTCTCCCGGCACTTGATCATTCATGATGTGAAACCATTCTGTACGAGTGCATAACTAACTGATATACAACGTCGTTGAGCGACATGCGGCAGGACAATTGAGTTTTGTGTAAGATCGAGTTTCTGTGAACTGTTTCTGAAGGAATGATTTGTTCTTGTTGTTCTTGTTAATGTTGTTGGTTTTAATAAAGTTTAAACGTTAACTATGCTGTTGACTTTATTGTACATGATATATTTCATATGTATTTCGTTACGAAAATGAAGATTTGTAATAATAGCGTATATCTGGCTTAAATGCATACATTAAATTATGGAAATATTGAAGATATCATTTTTTTTATATAAATTTTAAGTTAACATTATTTCGATCTCTCATTGTTATTCATGGAAAGATATTTATACGTATGATGATATATATGTAAATTTAAATATGATACTGCATAAAAATTCATTTATATGCATGTCATTGAAATAAAATATTCTACGCATTATTTAAAAAAAAAAGATAAACAATGAATTCTGGTTATACATGTATATTATTTCATAATTATATTTTTATGTAAATTCTATGATCTAATAAAATGATTGTATATCCTTCCTGAGATAATTGTCGGAGTTTCTGTTAATTACGCTAGAAATCAGTATAGTCGATAAAATCACTTTCTTATCTCCGTGGTAACAACATACTTTGTCTCTTTTTTTTTTACGAAGAAGTCATAAATGTTGGACATTGTCTTCTGTTTTCACGACAGACAATATGATTGGAACGTATATTTTTATGGTTTTGTTTTGAGGCAGTAAATCAATTTTATTGAGGTGAAGAATGCGCGATTATACCATAAGAGATATGTGGCGCATTGAGACTGAACATTGATCGTACGTAGTACTAGAGTAACAGGGTTAGAAGGGGTTTACTAAAACGTCGAGTAGTTATCGATTGCGGACTACCGTGACGTCATCGTGGATCACGCCACATCCCCGCCCATTGAAACTCGGCTTCTGATTGGTTCACGTGTATGCTAGCTATCTATATCGAAAAGCATGACCGTCGCGGCTTGTGAGTGTGAGTCAAATCTTCAGTTTTCACATGCGCATAAATTAATCTGCACGATGTTATCCAACATTATTTTCGTACGTCTACACAATTTTCAACGATCGCCATGCTCCTTGTGTCACGTTAACGAAAACTATGACATTAAACGCCCAAAATCTTCAGACGATTGACTATGTGTACCATGCTAAAAAATTGGCGGGTGATTTCAAATGAGAAATGTATTCAAACTGTAGCAACGTTTTTTGCAAAATTCCATTAGAAACAAAGCGAATTTTCACGTTCGCTCGCATTTTGGAATGTCCTTCGAAATTGTTTGGAACCGGCGACGCGCAGGGTATTTCATTTCAGAGAATTTCCATCGGTTCGTTCGGTTTTAAGGTAACGGATAGCAAGATGGCTGCTATTGGATCGAGCATGTATAGAGTGGTCGGTGTTCTGCGCTGGCGTTAGTACGTGTGAGAGAGTAGGGTACGGTCAGTTTTGCCGAAAATACGCAGTATTCGTCGAAGCCTCAGCGTGCGATAAGGTTAAAAGTTTGACATGTGTACGACAAGGAGTGTGCCATGTATACAGAAGAAATGATAATATTTGAGTATTATTCGCACGAGTACTGAGCTGTCGCTCGTGTGCACGTTACGCGATAACGCCGCAAGTAATAGGATCGGTCATAGTAATCGGTGAATAGTAATCAAGTTCATAGTACAGAAGCACGTGGTGTTCAAAGCGTATTGGTTTATCTTATCGAATAGCGGAGATAATTTTCGCCCGAGTCAGAAGATCCAAAGGAGATCGATCTCCCCAATCATTGCGACGAATGTAAGAATAATAAGATAAATTTTAAGTGGTGCATGCTTTGAAGCACAAGTGCCCGAAGCTTTCTTTTTTTGAATGTCGTGACGAATTTTCTCGGTGGACATTGATATCGTTCTCGACGTAATATGAAAAGTATCTGATAACGTAATATGTAGATGATCTTGTTGAACAGCTGTCTCGTTGTCACATGTCGGCCTCGTTCATCCTCTGCCAGTGTTTCTCTGTCGCGAAACAAAATGATTAAAGACCAAAGGTTGCCTGAAAATTCTAACCCTAACATAACTCCTTGCGTTAATTGCGATTCGAACTCAGTTCGTCGTCGGCCGCTGACGGAGTATGTCACGTCGTTGATCGGTTCTCTGTCCCTCGTATCCTTTCCTCGTCTCTCTCCTTTTACCTATACACGCGCCATAAGTATAGATATTTGTACGCGCGCACACACACACACACACACCCACCCACACCATTCTCAACCCTTGGTTCGTGTATAGTGATAATTTCCTCTTCTGGCCGGTGGTGGGAAAAACAGACTGTTAGTCGTCAGGAATCGTCGAGCTTGTCGGGAAAGAACGCGGGGATTTTATACAAGTTAAGACAGTCGCGTTCTAGTGCATAGAGAAGGTAAGCAACAAACTTGCTTCGTATTTCGCGAACAATCATAATTTTATTTTATTCACATGCCAAGTCGGCGGCTTAGAGAATTTCGAGATCACATTCTCACGTGGCACGATTTTTCACTTTGTAACAAGAGTTTACTTCCCGTTTGTAAGAATAAGAAAGACACGCGAGACAATTGTGAAACACACATGTCGACATGACATACAATCAACACGCAATGGTTTAGTTGAAATGACTTTGAATTACTCTCGATTCAAGCTTCCGGAATGGTGCTGCAATGCTTGCTGCACAACTAGAGATTGGCCCGGTAACATTCTTCGTTCATTTATTCTGGCGTGTGAATATTGTCATAGTTGTCAGCATTCCACGAACGAGTCATCGATCATTCGAGTATCGAATTCGCGGTCACATTGTCTTGCGGTTACCGATCAAGTATTATCGGTGAATGAACGAGTACGCGCGTACACGTTATGAGCTAATTTTCGAATATTTGAAACATATTCGACTTCGTCCCGAATGTTGATTATCAAGTGAAAATGTCGTTTATATATATTGCTTGTTCCTCTTTAATGTGTTTTAAATGTCGAAAGTTTTCAGGTTCAATTTCTTCATAACGCTCCGTTGTAATTAACCTCGCTGTATCTTCCGAGTTTCGACAGTCACATTCTCGTATTGTTAAACTGCGATTACTCACCTCGGGGTCTAGTATAAGTACGTCACTAGACCCCGACGTGGGTAATCCCAGGTCAAAGAAGGTTCTTTCGTTTCGTGCATACAAATTTTCTGAAAATGTTCCTTCGTCGAAATGAAATATTAGAATTTACATTGTGGGAATATGCTTGGGTATCTTGGTTGCACAAAATACGTATAAATAAAAGTATTTGTGTTGAGTAATTATTCGTTCGAACGTTTGAATTGATTCTTACGTTATCGACGTTTTTTGCAGTTTGTAATTGCACTTTTTGTTCTGGGAATCGCGGTTATTGCGCTACACACGGCGGCATCAAGTATCACCTGATACATATATACTTTGTCAACCACGATACTAACACAGTGTTATATATATATATATATATATGTAGAAACAAGTGGTACAGCGATACAGATTACCTCTACGTTGTCTGGTGTAATAAATTAATGATAAGAATGTAGCATGAAGCGTTGGTATATATGTATTTCTCTTAGATCGATAGCTTCTGTCGAAGATCGTGCTCTTTTACGTATAAGCTTCCCGCTTATAAATTGATGTGGAATTCTTTTGATTTAGTATCTCAATGTCAATTTCTAATTAGCGATCATTCTGACGATTTACATGTAATTCTACATATTATATGTATTGTATCAGCATTACGTATCATTTTTCGTGCTACTGAAAGATATTTTTCACTAGACGTGTCCGTGTCATTAGATGGAGGTTGTTTTTTGAAATAAATATGCAAAATTTCTCTTTACCAGAGATATTGTACAATTAAACTGTAATTAAAGATGATGAACTCGAATTAATTGTAATCAGGAATGGTAATTTCCTTAATTTTGTTGGCTAAAGACACGGTGGATTTGTTTATCGTTTCAAAAACGTTGATAATTATGGTCAATAGTATTCTTTAGATAATATGGAATATTAATTAACGTAGTAATTTTTATATAGACTACTGATGCATCTTGATCGCGTGTATCTAGTTACAGGCATTTGTAATTGAACTTATCAATCGTCGCGTTACAATAGAATAGATAGATAACCATGTTCTGTGAATGCAATTATATCGGAAGACGATTAGCGTGAATTTAAATAATTATTCGTAGTACACAATTTCCACACAATTCAAGAGAAGACTGCATCATACGAATTATGTTGTATTATACAGGGTGTTGCGTAACTGGTGATACAGCTAAGTAGGAGATGAAAAAACGAGAGAGAGAGAGAGAGAATAAAATTTTTTCATTGAGTCTTCATCAAGTCTTCGTTTCCGAGAAAATCGAATTTGAAGATTCATCGAGTATACTCTGTATATGGATTATGAGCACGGTGCAACGAATTTGGTTTTTCTTATGCGGACTCTAAAATCTTTCCAACGCGTTATATAGTGTTTACTTAGTTTATCATAGTTCTATGCCTACTGGTCGTAATTTTTTCGCCGCGTTGTACTTTCAATAGTATGTTACAGTAAACACAATTCATGTGGATAATCCTATAGTTACCTTGATACAACTTAAGCATGAGTTATGCAGGGTCCAACGTTCAATGTCGTAACTTATCTCGGAGCCTCGTACTCGTTGACCCGTTCCATTGCTTTTTACATTTATCCTATATACATATGTTCGTATCTGTGTCGATGAATTTGACTCTTGGAGATCGTAGGACGATCGCGAAATCATGCAGTAATTATTAAGCAAAGATAGGCAAACTTTTCTACAATTTATATAAGGTCTATTTGTTTTTGTTGTAATGTACTGAATTCAAGAAGTACCGATTCTTTTTCTCATTGATATGTGGAGCAAGTTCAGTCCTACGTACGAAATTTCACGATATATTTATCAATTTCTTTTTCCTCTGTTTGATTTGAGATATTTATGAAACTATAATATCAAAAATATCGAAGAAGTATTTCAATACATACCATGATTTTTCGTATTTGATACACGTGTGTATTATTTGTTTTAGATATCTTCGAAGTTGATAAAAAGATAGTAGTATCAGAAAAACAGTCAGAAATAAGTTTGATAAAATGATGGTAGTTTGTCCAGAAAGATATTTTGTTCTCTTACAAAAAGTATTTAAAAAACGAATTTGTTCATAAATAACAGATGTGAATCGTTGATTCATGAATAAATATTATAAATTATTAGCCACGTATTAATTACAATAGTGTTCATAATTTTTGTCGTTTTATTATTGCATAATTGATTTGTGATATCGTGTTCCCATTTCCTTCTTTCTATTTATGAATTTTGTTATGTAATGGGTAGTAGAGTTGAAGCTAAGAATAATAGAAGATAGTGAAATAGAAGAAATAGATGATTTTTTTCGAGATTAATATTATATCTGATTTGCTATATGTGTTTCTGAATGATATCGAGACATAATGGACTAAAATATTCGAAAGAAAAAAAAGGAAAATTCCAAAGCACAATTATACCTCTTAAGCATTGTTATTCAAAAGCCTCTTCTTTACGTCATATAGTTACATGAGAAAAAAAACATCAATAATTTCGTAAATTCCGAGGGACCTTGGAAAATATTTTCGTAGATGGTTTTATTTAAATCGTGCACTCTATATGTTCAGAATTGCCATTCCTCCTTTATCCTTCTTTCCCCCCCTTTAATCACACAACAGTCAAATTACTGACTTAGAGTTATCGTCTGGGAAATAGGGTTGTAACGCGATACGGTATGCTCCAATGGTCAGGCGCTAACCTTGGTGTAAACGACTCAGAAGCCTATCAATATCGAGTAGAATGAGAAATCGAAACATCCTGTTATAATGATGCCAGGCGAAAGCAAACATATTTTACTAATTTTCATTGTTACATTACCATTGTGTTCCAATTGATTCATTTGCTTCTTCCTCTGCATATTGTTAGGCACGTGGGTGCCATAATTAGAAATAATTCGTCGAATCATTTGGCACTTCCTTCTATCTCATTGTTTTTTTTTTTTTTTCGGTGTCAATAGCGATTCAACTTGATTGATCATCGATGTTATCGTGTTTATTTTCTAAGCATACTAAGATCATTCCGAGCGAAGTGTCGACGATGAAATATGAGACGTTGAAATCTGAAGGGGAAATAATATAATTCCCGCATTTCATTGATAAAGTTATTTTCATCACATTTGATAGAAATCGGTTTCTTGCTCGTTTACATAATTTGACCTAATACCAGAGGATGCCAGCCATTAGAGCTTCGAACGATCGAGCAGATTTGTGGCTCGTAAGCGATCAAGGGATACATGAACGCTTCCCAGACAGGAAGCTGACCAATAGGAACGTTCTAATTTGAATCTGCACGTGCATGATTCGTGAACGCGAAGTTTCATCTTTCGCGATAAAAAATTTTCTTATAATTGTCATGTAGATAGAGAAACAATAACATACTACGTACACCTGCCTTTAGCTCTAGTTTCTATTTTGTAAATAAATTGTCCCTCACCTTACGTGTTTATGATCTAATGGAAAAAGAAGACATTCGCTGCAACGGATTGTTAGAAAGAGAATTGGAGTATTGAAATTGAAATATAATGTAATATCTTCGTCTGGCTTTGAATACAAATTCGTGCATCTTGCTCTTTATAACAATTAGGTTCTGCAATTTCTTGTAAAAAGGAATTGAAATATTTATAGCACCGTGATGAATAATTTGGTTCTTAAATATTTAGATTTTGTTTATTCACATTATTTAGTAATATGTTTACGTAATTTTTAATTAATTCCCAATGGAGTAATGTGTTTCCTAATTTCTATAGGATCTATTGAATTTACGGAATTTTCACATTCATTATGAAACAATTTGTCATTTTGACTCCGTTAAGACTTTAAGTTTTTACTAGATGATTGCAGCAATAAGCTTAGTTTATGGTGCATATTAAACTTTTTCCAAGGTGATTATGTTGTATAAGGTTGCAAAACCTTAAATTACCCTTTGAAGACAACAATATTTCTCATATTGCATAGAAATAATTTATTTTATAAAAGTATTTTAATATTCATTACTTATTTCAGTCGCTTATATTAGTATTGAATAGTAGTAGCAATGTACGTTAAACAAAATTGATAATGCGTTACTAGAAACGTGTTTATCTAGCATTTTTTGTTCTGTTGTTTAAATATTTAGTTCTATCTCGTACAATGTAATACAAGATTAATGAGTATAATTTTATTATTAAAGTCCGATTATATACTACAATGTTTTATAAGAGTACAAGTTAATCAGTATTTATCAGTATGAAATAGATAAAACAGAAGATTAGAGTCACATATAGGAACTTTGATACGAATAAAGAAATATACAAGAATTAATGGAAAAATTGAAGAGTTTATGACTCTTGTTCAAGGTCCAAATTGGATTGCTTAAACTATTAGGTGTACACATACACGTATATACATACGTAAATCGCGCTTGCTTGATCGCTCAGTGACCCCGTTATCTATTTTCAAAGATCGAACTTTGTATTATGATGTTTCTGACTTACGTATATGCAGTTTGTTCTTCAACATTGTTGCATCAATTATTCCAACGCTCTTTGCATCATTTTATAATTTTTTGAAAGTGAAAACGACATTTTTGTTTTAAGCCTGTTGAAATAGTAATTGTACTATTAAATGAAGATCATAAAAACATAAATGAATGTCGGAAAATTCAGATTTTAATACAAATTATCATATATAATTTTGTTAATGATTTAATAATTTTTTTAGAAGAAAAGATAGATAATTGAGTGTAAAACATTATCGCTCAAATTATTTTAAATCACGAAATGTTTACTTCAATTATTTGCACGAGTTATTTCAATTTCGTAATGTCCTTTAATTTGACACGTCAACGTTTATGATGTTTCAATTTTTGTGACATACATTTTCGTTATGAATCGGCACGTGGCGAGTGTATGATAAAGTGCACTTAACCAAATTACTTGCTACACAGAACGGACTGTGTAAGACTTCAAGTGAATTCAATGTCATCTTAATAGTCTTTCATAGCCAATATAAAGTACTCATAATGGAGCAAGTGCTTAAAATAAATAATTTCTCTGTGTATAAAATTGAGGTATTTCATTAAATCGGAACTCGCGGGAACAGTGGCTCACTGTGTGAGATTTTTATAAATAGGAAAGATTAATCTATGATGGAAAAATATTGGAAACGATATAGACAATCATTTTCCATCAATCCAGATACTAGACTATTAGGATGACATTGACTACAGCTGAAAATTGGAAAGGTTGGAAGAACAAAATTCATATGATTTTCCTTTATCAGTTATGATTAATAGCTGCTTGTCTGAATAAACGTTGGCTAAACATACAAGAAGATATCACATGTTGTATCTATTGTATGTGTATTTGAACATTTCATTTTTCTTTGTTTCTTTTTTTGTTTCTCATTCAAGAACTCGTACAAAATATTAGTTGCGATTGTTTCAAAGTACCTATACTTATCAAATGTTCAAGGTTTGTTATCAAATACTAGTAGGTCATCGATCATGATTCTATTATGGTTGACACGATGATAGCTGCAACAAACAGTCTCGTAGACTTAAAAACCGAGAAAAATCGGTTTCCGTGTTCCGAGAACGATTTTGATGTTGCCGAGTATTTTGACGCTAGTACTAAAGAGAGAAAGAACGTGTGCTTCTCTAAAACATCATTAACCACATCGATTTTGCCAATGGTTTTTCTTGCAGTGTCATTAATCCGCATCAAAGCAACTTCCGTTAAAGTACCGGAGGTACAATATCTTTTGGGAATAAAGGTGCCCAGATACTGATTCATCATGATCGTGGACGACAAACCGTGAGTCGTAGTAGTGTATTGAAAACAATACAGAAGAAAATAATGTTTTCCTTTTTATTACTATTTTTCCGTCTATTATGAACACTTCTTTAGCCTATGCATGTATGCACACTCTGTCTGTAGATTTACAATTGCATTCTCACTTCTTGCATCTATAAAATATAACATGTAATTAGCAAGCTTCTTTGAATTTTATATTATAATATTGTTTGAAATGTTTATTAACGTAGTGTATTTTTAATGTAATGTAGCATGAAGTACTATTTATCTCTATTGATTTCTATTAATATATCTATGTTATTTGTGGTAATAGATAGAAATGTAAACACATAATGCTCTTCAAAAACACAATACGTCTATTAGTTTCTTAACTGATTGTTAGTTAAAGAAGTACTAGATTGTTGATTCTTATGCTTTTATAAGAAATCTCAAAATGCAAAAATATACAGAATGCGTATAATATATAAAAATATATAAATTACTTGCTGTATATGTTACTTATTTATGTTTCTTCACTTGTATTGAAAATATGCAATATTCATAAATGAGCAGTAGTTTGTTTCCTTATATTTTTTTTTTCTTTTTAAATTGTTGTTGCATAATTGTACGCTCCTTGATTTTTGCAATTATGTAATTTATGCTCATTTGTAATTTCCCATGAAAATAAAGCATTATATAGAAAAGTGATAAGTTTCTTGTACGTAATGCCCTTCAGATATATAATAATATTAGAAACGAGTAATTTTATTTTGTTTTGTATAAAAACCTAGTTATAAAATGTTATATAAATGATCGAACTTAGGAAGTCAGACGTAGAGTATATAAATTAGTCATTAAGACACAAATGATTGCAAACATGTAAATGACCAGAAATTAATGTCCTATCCGTAACTACATATGCATATTTCTGTCTAAATACACAATACAAAACTGTGACAGCTTATATGTTTATTTCTTCTTCGACGCCATGTCTATTTCTGGCATTTACTATTATTTTTATTATTACTATTTCTCAATTTTTAAATTTTAACACAATAAAATAATTATTCTATAGATTTGAAAAATCCTCCTTAACACAATAAAATAATTATTCTATAAATTTTATAAAATCCTCCATTACTTTTCAATAGTCAAATTTATTTCCTTTTTCTTTTTTTAAATTATTTACAGTCGTATGAACCAATATTATCAGCATGTTATCAATTATTGGAATTTAAATATTGGAATTATAAATTATTGGAATTAATTTCTTTTTGCGAGGAAACGCAAACGATAAATTCAAATGATAAATTCAAATGGTTTATCGTAGCAAGAACTGTGTAATTAGTTTTATTTAGCTGTATCATGTTATTAAATTCTTAGAAGATACATAACGATACGAACCTTGATCTCGCACTCTGCTCTTTCAATTAAATATTAATACGTGGTAGAATCTATGGAGAGAGAACATGCTCTTCGCTTGGAATTTCGGATAACAAAAAGGACTATGCCGAGTCCGTTGGTAGCCGCATCTGTCGCGAGTCAACGCCGTTCAAAGTCCGCGAAGATATTCGTACTTGTCGCCAAATTATAGTCACGCCACGCTTTCAATTGTGTTCGTGTATCTTGGCATACTATATATAGGGTGTCGCGTGGCACATTCTGTCTATTGTTTCGAGACGGTGCAAAACGGTTATGAACAGCGATTGAATCATTTTAGGTAGTTTAATTTTTTTTGCAGTACCACTACACGAATGTATGTGCTGTTGCGATTTCAAACTATAACTTCGTTTCTTTTCTCTTTTATCCTCATAAATAAAGAACGCATTGCTCTTCTTTTCCTGTTGTAAATTTGAATAATTGTTACACTATTTTTAGTAATTGTAATAAATCTAAGTAACATTTTGAATATCAAAATTAGATTTGTTGGAAAAATTTTGAATATCAAACAAGTTATTTGAATTGAGTAATTGAAACATCCTATATGATGGAACGCGTAGAATGATACAGCCATAGGACAAAAATGGCGAAACTGCGAACATCAATATTATTATTATTACCTTGTACGAAAGTAAAAATTATGACGTGACTAATAAGTTAATATTGATGCAAATATTAGATATTTCTACTAATAATATCCAGAATTTATTAAATTCAACCAATAGTAATTAATTATTTAACAAATAATAAAATTAACCCAATAATAATACTGTAATTTGTATTACAATTAAAAACAGCGTAAAAATAAAGCAGCTACGCTAAAATGTAGATCAGGGACTCTTAACTTAGTTGTAGAACTGAATCTAATTCACATCTTTTCCCTATTAATATAATGTAAGAATGAAAGTAGTATTTTCAACAATTTTTATATTCAGATTTACAATATTCAGTATTTTCAATATTTTTTATACGTATTCAGATAATCCCAGGTATTTTCGAAACATTACTACCAAATGTATATAATTTAAAATTCTTTTAGAAGATTAAATAAGCTGTTCAAAGTTTAAAAAAATATTTTTCGATTTTTTATCCTTCCTTTTTTGCTTTACATCTTCCTTTCGCTAGGTATAGTATTTTATATAAACAGCTGCTATTTTTAAAATCTTTTTTTCTGCTTTTACGTCTTTCCTTTGCTCGCTGATTCTTTTTTCACTATTTATTCACTGATCGAAAGTAAATCTGCCATAATATACTACCGTGCTGCATGGCGCTGTTGCGTTTATCTGTTACATCACATGATCGCGCAATCTATACGCACTATTTTTGCTCAATGCATTTTGTACTCTGTTTTTATTTAAGTTTTGAGGTCATTTGATCATTTGCAAGAATATCGAAGTTAACATACAAGTTTCATTGAAAAAAGGATTCAAAAAAAAGAATTGAAAAAAAGAGATGAACAGTTTTTGATTATTATTGAAGATAAGATAAAACAGGAAAACAATGCCATTATATCCATTCATATGGGAAGGTTATTTGATTTTACCGGCGTATGCACATATTTACTTCACCGACGGTCGGTGTTGTTAATCCTCAGCTGATAAAGTAGAATGTTGATTAGATAATTATTACAAAAATCGATTAAATTAGAATTGGAAGGAAAAATAAGGAATTTATTTCCTTGTTATTTAATAAAGTGATTTAAACATACATATTTTGTGAATTATAAATGAAATTATCATCATGATTCTAATTTATCGTTTTTATCAGTTGGGGGTTAAAGAGTTAATTATATGAATAATCTTTAATTTCGTTTGTTTTGCTTCGATGTCCAATATATTTTAAATAAAATCTTTATTTTTTCAAGCTGTTCTAAATATACTGCATTTGAATGATCCAGCCTTGAACAGAATACATATTAAGTTTGATGCCAAACGTGAAGAATGAGTAATTGTTAAATTTATGAGCTTTAGTATGAAAGTATTCCAGATTTAGATATGTGTTTTTTTTTTTTTTTTACGATGCATTACATTCATCCTGTATTTCTCCTTTTAAAGTAACATTTAGAGAGTTAGAAATATTGATACTTTTCTTTAGGAGCTTTGTAATATTGAATTTGCAATGTGATTAATTCTATTTGATATATCACGTTAATATTTGTTTTTATTTACTAATACTGGTAGTAATTAACAGCGTACCATCCATATACGAATATTCATACCATACTCTTTAATACTAATATTGACATTGGCTCTATATCCTGCAATACAGATAATACAATACTCTATAGCCTTGACAATAACATCTTCTTATGCAGGAAATTTCACAAATTAAAATTGGCATGGCATTACAACATTTTCAAACTTTCATATTTATATATTTCACGTTCAAAATGATGTCTGAATTGATCTCAACTTTTTTACATTTCTGATAAAAAAATCTCTGTACATACATATACATGTATATACATATATCTGCATTTACAATATATAACATCTAATCTGCATTTTTCGAACATTAATTTCTTCATTGCAATCACGTACTGACATATAAAAAGATTATATAAATCATAATCTCATATTATCATTATAGAATTAATGGCAGAAACTTACCTTACATAATTCTCGAAGCAAACGTTCTCTTAGATTATCAGTTTCAAACGATGACGAAGCTTTTCTTTGAAGGACGCTGTTTATAGTTGAAGAGATCCTTTTCATTAGGAGGGATATCTCTCAAGAACACCAATACTAAATAAGATATTTCTTGACATTTCGTTTCCCTTTTAGGGAGATGGAAAGCTTTTGGGTCATCAGCGCGATCACCGCGATCAAGGCGATTTCGTACGTGTACGATCTACTAACATTTCCGGTATGGCTCGTGCTTCAACGGCCTTGGGAGAAGAGGAAGGCCTCGCGAAGGATCAAGGCTCGACCTATCGCCAAGGATGAGCACGGTATTACGTATAGGAGCGTGGACCCACCAGGAGAGATGCGGATCAACCTTGAACGTGAAAATATCGATACGCTCGAGAAGGTGATGGGTTGGATCACTAAAAAACACGGTGATAAGAAATGCGTCGGTACGAGAGAGATACTTGCCGAGGAAGACGAGGTTCAACCAAATGGTCGAATATTTAAAAAGGTAAAGCAAGGAGCCGCTGTTCTGTTGTAATTATGACAGGTAACATGTAAAATTTATTTCGTCATCGAGATGTTCTTTTACGATGCATTTCTCTTCAATTCTTACCTCTAAGATATTTCCAAAATGGATATTCGAATTGGAAGTTCATTTCAGGCTACAATGTATTGCGAATAAATGTTAATTTTACGAATCAACTTGATGGTGAATTATTTTGTTACAGTATAAAATGGGAGAGTACAAATGGAAAAGCTACACGGACGTGGATAGGCTAACGACATCCTTTAGTCGAGGCTTAAGAGAATTTAATCTTACGGCGCGTAAAAACATCGTCATCTTCGCAGAGACTAGGGAGGAATGGATGATAGCAGCTTATGGTTGCTTTAAACAGAATTTGACTGTAGTCACGATTTATGCGACTTTAGGCGAGGAAGCTATTGCTCATGGAATCAATGAAACAGAGGTCGATACCGTGATCACTAGTCACGACTTGTTGCCAAAGTTTAAACGACTTCTTAATGTGTTACCTCAAATTAAAACTATCGTTTACATGGAAGATCAGTTGGTACCTACTGACACAACTGGTTATAAAGTGAGTACCTTGATTCAAATTCTATAGATATGTGATATAGAATCTAGACTTTAAAGACGTATCATTACATTTATCGAGGAATTATATCTTATATAACATGTATGATATGAATAAAATAATAGATCTGTAATAAAATAACTAAAGAATAAAATATAGATGTAAGATATAGATCATTTCAATATTGAGATTGTGTACATTTTATATATATAATTATGATACGATATGATATGGTATACATAATTGTCATATGACATAGAAACCTTTTTTGATACATTTTAGTCTGGTGTTAGGCTCCTACCATTCTCTGATATAATCAAGACGGGTAACACTTCTTCTGCATCACAATTCCCGCCAAAAAGTTCTGACACTGCAATCATAATGTATACATCTGGATCGACCGGAGTACCGAAAGGTGTACTTTTGTCACATTTGAACGTGGTTTCTGTGATGAAGGCGTTTGTTGATGTCGTTGAAATTAGACCAGATGATGTGTTTCTTGGATTCTTACCTTTGGCTCATGTATTTGAACTTCTTGCTGAGAGTGTGTGCCTTTTAAGCGGCGTGCCTATCGGCTACAGTTCGCCTCTTACTATGATTGATTCAAGTAGCAAAATTCAAAGAGGGTCCAAAGGGGATGCATCTGTTTTGCGTCCGACTTGTGTAACTTCTGTGCCAGTAAGTTTCAAAAATTATATCACATTGAAACAGAAGCGTTGAATAACTTTGTTTTTCTTTGTCTTCTACAGCTTATTCTGGATCGTATCTCCAAAGGTATCAACGAAAAGGTAAAGAAATCGGGACCACTGAGTCGGACGCTATTTAGATTTGCCTACGAGTATAAATTGAAATGGTATAAACGTGGTTATGATACGCCTTTCTGTAATAAATACATTTTTGGAGCTGCAAGGCAAGTTCTTGGTGGAAGGGTTAGGCTTATTCTTTGTGGTGGTGCTCCTTTGACTCCCGACACTCAAACTCAGGTTAAAATTTGCCTCTGTGTCACTTTGACTCAAGGATATGGCCTCACCGAAACAACTTCGTGTGCTACAGTTATGGACAGTACGTGATTTTTCTTTCCTTCTTCTTCTTATTAAATTACATTTCGTTTAATGTGTTAAACTGTACGACGTTTTATTTTTAGAGCACGATAGAAGTACGGGAAGAGTAGGAGGACCAACTACAATTTGTGATATTCGTTTAGAAAATTGGGAGGAAGCTGGTTACAGAGTTACGGATACCCCATATCCCAGGGGAGAAATCGTAATTGGTGGTGTAAATGTTTCGGCTGGTTACTATAAACTACCAGAAAAAACAAAAGAAGACTTTTTCCAAGAAGATGGAAAACAGTGGTTCAGAACCGGTGATATTGGAGAAATTCACGAAGACGGTTGTATACAAATTATTGGTATGTTTTAATTTCAATGCTATTATATGTTTCACAGAGAAAATATTTTGGTACATGTTTTATCAGATTTTTTATCTATTTTCACAGATCGAAAGAAAGATCTGGTTAAATTACAACTTGGTGAATATGTTTCTTTGGGCAAAGTCGAAGCAGAATTAAAAACCTGTCCCGTTGTAGAGAACATCTGTGTTTATGGAGATTCCCATAAGTCTTACACCGTGGCATTAGTAGTACCTAACCAATACTATTTAGAACAGATTGCCAATGACTTAGGTATCACTAACAAGAGTTTAGAAGAACTTTGTGATAATCCAGAGATAGAAAAAACAGTGTTGCAACAGTTGGTAGAGCAAGCCAAAAAATGTAAAAATATTTGACAAATATAATATTTTGTAAAATTTTTGGAATTTTTTTAACAATGTTTAAGTAATTTTTATTTTATAATACAGGTAATCTCCAAAGGTTTGAAATACCTGGTGCTGTGAAATTGTGTGCAGAACAATGGTCACCCGATATGGGTTTGGTAACAGCAGCATTCAAGCTGAAGAGGAAAGCAGTGCAAGAACGGTATCAACACGAAATCAATAGGATGTATGCCTCGTGATGAGAAGACGTTCGCAAGAAGTGTAATAGGTGAAGTGATATCGATATTCAAGCTTTCTAATTTAGCAAAACTTCGATATTTTTCGCGAGAATTTTGCGAAATGTGATCGAATGTTAATTAAGAACTTCAGATTTGAAAATGTGTATTTTCTCTGTTCTCCTTGCTGGAAAAGACTTTAATACCAAAAAGTCTACTTACAACATAGTTAAACGTATATAAAAAAAAAAAATTGATATATGAAGAACTTTTATCTGCTGGTGAATATTTTATTAGTCAATTTTTAGGGTTTCGTTCGAGGCGAGAAATGAGTTTGATCTTCAGTGGTGTGAGTATATAAAGAGCGTCTTGTAACATAATCGTGATGCAAGGTATGAGTGATACAAAGTGCGGGTGTTTATTCCGTGAAGGAGAAAGGAAATCGTCATTTTTCGTCCTACATTTAGTTATCTTAATAGTGTACTTTCTTGTAACAATTCTCGGACCTCGCAAAAAATCAATCACTAATTAATACTTCAATATAAGTTCATAATTTCAATATATAAGTTCATAACTCGAACGGTGTACTTATTTTAAGTATTATTTGGAATCGTCGAGTTTTATTCATCGCTCAGTTAATTACTTTGTGTATTAAAGTATGATTGTACATATAGAGAAATTAAATGAAGTGATTAATTATTCTTTTACTTGATGTTGAAGCGCGGTGTATGCTAGATTTGCTTCGGTATGTTTGTGTTTGATTTGATTCCTGAACTTCAGTTAAGATTCTCAAATGGAAATGTTCTTCGTCAAATATTGTAAAATACTTGCAGATAATGTTCTTGTTCACTGTCTTAAATTATTATTATGTCAAAGCATCACAAAAAGATTTTCTCTTCTTTTTCTCTTATGCACCTTTATGTGTATGCATGTGTTGGTACGTGTATGCGTGTTTATTTTTACGTATGCTTGTATGCACATATGAGCGAGGAAATTAGAATCTAATGTATGTGAGTTTATTAAAAAAAAAAAGAAAAAAATGAAGAAAATGGTGTTCACAAAGGGAAAATTATTCTATTAATTTTTTGTAGTCTTCCCATTTATTGTAATGTGTCAATACTTTGAAAAACATAAATAGTTGAAAGTTGGATTCTTTTGTTATTTAAGTTTCGTAGGCATTGGGTCTATAATTCAAGCGTTTGATTCTCAAGTCATGTTAGTTCGCACGAATTTCATTCGCGAGTTAGTAGTCTTCCTATGATATCCGGCGTTATACATGATATTAGCCTTAGCAATAGCATTATCTTCTCTAATGCTTCTTACCGAATATGGTTGATATGCGTATATCTTAATCAATGAACGCTTATGTTCCACATAAATTTTTATGTTTTTGTCTTCATTGAAATTTTCATACAAGAACGGCGCATTGAACAGGGATTTTGTATTATATTATATGACATCGTGTTGATTGCGGATTTTAAATGTTTAGTATTCAAGTTGATTCGCAATTATGTAAGAAGAGAAAGACGATAAGAAGAGAACGATAGCTCACTCTTCTTTTCCAGTTGTATTAAGAGTTCCTGCGATATAGTTGAACACGTGTTACAAATTGTTACGAGTCCTTGCTAATTTGCATAAATTATTGAAAGCTGTACAATATTAGATAGGAGATTACCAATTGTTTGGATATAATCATATCATCAATATTTATTATTATTATTATTCTTATTATCATCATTATTAATTATAATTATGGAGGCAGAAATAAATGTACAGATCTATAGTACACTTACATGGTATTATTGTGATTCTTTTGTTTTTCTTTCTAATTTATGATCAACGCAAGCGATATGTATATTTATATATTTCACAGTTTTCATTTTTTTATATATTTCATAACGTCGACAATAATCTAATCTTATCGTACAAATGTTGAAAAAATTAATAGAATAAAACTAATGAGCAGAATTCTCACTGTCCCTTTTAGGTCCATTCATTTTCTGTGCTGTATTTATTTCAAAACTGTTAAAGGAAGATATACAATGTTTTAATTTTGTTTCTTATTAATTAAAAGATTTTGTTTCTTATTAATTAATTCTGTTTAATAATGACAGAAGCGTGTAACGTGTTCAAATGAATGGCGCCATTTTTTGAATTTACCGCCAGATGGCGCGTTCATAATTGTGAGTTTCCTGTTGTCATCGATTTCTTATTCGTGGATCGTGCGTTTCAATTTGAAAAATTCACGAGTGTTCGCCGGTCTTTTTACATTTCGCAAAAACAGTTTTTCTCTCGGAGAAAACGGGTTTATTTAACGGAAAATGCGTGAGTGTATCGTAACAGTGTATCGCAAGTGCGGGAAAGAAATGCGGGAAGGAAAATGATCGCGTCGTGCATCTCTTTGGTAAGTTTGTTTAACGAACTTTTTTTTCAAATAATCGTTGTCGCCATTTGATTTTCTCCTATCATCACGAAAACTGGTTAGAAAGGGGGAAAAAAAAAAAAAAAAGGAAACATTCGTTCCAAGACATTTCTTTAATCGTTTATTTGTTACAAATGCAGAAGAAATAATATATCATAATACATAGAGCAATCTATCAAGTTGGTCATTGCAATAGACATTTTAATATATCGAACCATACCTCTCGATATTGATAAATTTCTCTCCTTCTCCGTTTCCTCGCGTAAAACAGCATCTACTTTCAATAGAAGTACAAGTTTATTTCCTAAACAGACCTTATCACGAGCAGGTCGTGTAACATTCATAAAATCTCTAAAATCTGTCGTTCGCGACGAGATGTCGCACGCCATCGTAAAAAACGTCTAAATTTCACGGTGCACGAAATGCACGCGCGAGGAACATCAAAAACTCCGCCATATTGTGTATGTACAAGCCTCGGCTCGATCAATTTGTTTGTTTATCAAGTTTGACACAATTGAAATATCTTATCTGTTAAACGTTAAAATACACTTGCACGTTGTCGTTTGCACAATTGGAGGAAGCGATTTTATTGATTTTTCTTAACTAGACTGCACTCCAAACGAACAATAACAACAATATTTACGATGGAAGAGATGGGATATTTACGATGGATCGAGATAATACAAGAGGCTTGTACATATTCCCATGTCGCTCGTGTTCGCACCCGTTACCTACACAATAGATTTTATATCCACGTTTCAACAATGTATAATAATAAGTACTTGTTATTCTACGAATACGGTTGTTTTCTAAAGGCCGTACACAATGAAATCGAGACCCTGGTATAATAATTTCAGTTCTCTGGAAGTATATTCTAGAGTTTCTTTGGTCAGAATCCTTACGTTGTACGTGTTAATTGTTACATTTGAGACCCTTTGTACACTTGACGCTTGCGTAGTTGAGAAATTCTCTTTCAAGAAGTTGTCAGGGTTAATTTCTTTCTATCGTATCCGATAAACGCGTTTAGAACTCAACATTTTAAAAAGATGTCTTGCAGGCAGAGGTAAAATTCCAAGCAAATTATTTCCAAAGTATCGAACAGTTCAGAGAAGTTTGAGTTGTACGCTTGAGTTGTATGAAATTTTTTTTTTTGAAAATGCTTCATTGAAGCTTTCTTTTCCTTCTCGCGATTCGTATTTTATTTATTTCCAGTGGGGTTTTTGTGGACTTACATTTATTACAAACACCGTGCCATTTATTATATAGGTATAAATTTCGAATGTATTATTATTATTGTAATAAAAAAATTAATAAAATATACTTTCGTTCGAGTTAATCTAGTAGAATTAGTAGTACAATTACGGGAATATTCGTCTAAACATTTTAACTCTTACCTGGCATCATCTATCGTTGAGAATGTAAAATAGAAAATGAAATTAAATGCTCTACAATTGTCTATAAATCCAACGATGCTACTAACAATAAGATAAAAAAGTCTTGTCCATTATCTTAAGTAGCAAAATTGATTTTCAATTTTTTCATTAAAAATCTGGATCAGAGGAAGCTCGTACAACTTTTTTGTACAACGTTCGATACGTTTGGAAATGATCGCTCAGAATGGAAAGTAAAACGATCCTCAGAGGCAGAGCGTCTCAGTTCGTTACAATCGATGCTTCATTGTAGTTCAATAATAGTTTAGATCAGACACTTCTACTTCAGAACACATTAATCGAAGTATTAAAGAAATGTTTCGCAGACAGGCCTTCGTTAATTTCTCTCGGTGTTCATCTTCCGCAAATAACTGTTTAATTAACTGTAGATAACTATCGGAGAAAGAATGACGAAAAGTTTGCAAATGTTACAAAACATAGCAAATTATCAGTGTCCAATTAAAGCCGAGAAACAAATTTTAAGGCCACAGTTCAATAAAAACTCTCTGATAAGAGTGCGAAATATTTTCAAAACATTGAGTACGAGGATGTCACAAAGAGGGGAAGGAGAAACAATTAACACCGTGAATGAAAACGAAATGACTGTTTTCATTTCCAAAACAAAACAAAAAGGAGAAAGGGAAAACCTTATAAAAATTGCACGTTTAGAACATCGCGTTGTTGGAATTGCAATCCCTCGTCATTTTCTATCGCTAGTACCGTTATTTCCGGTCTACAGTCGGTGCTTTTATAATGAGATCAAATTGAACGGGTTGGCCCGCTGTGTTCCTTGAGAGGGAGGAGGGGAATTAATAAATACCTTTGCAGATGTTCGCGGTAAAACACGACGATTTAGTAGACTTTCAACCTACGTGTTTCGTATACACACATACACGCGTGTCGCCTAATATCTCATTAGCAATGCAACATCGTGGCACATCGAGAGATGTGCTATACTTTTTTTTTTTTATCGCATCCGCGTTATGTGCTCTCGCGCTTTCATGTACACGTTTCACGCGTGCAAGAGCACGCCTGCATGAATTTCGGCTCAACGTTCGATATTACGTTCTTTCGATTTGCAACTTTTTTTCTTTTTCTTTGTTAAATACAAGCTTACCTACGTATTCCCTATTTTCGTGGGAAAGTTAATTATGCGCCTGCATTTCGTTCTAATTGAAAAATTTTCCACAAAAGTTTCTGCGCTTTTTGGAGTGCGATGATTTTTCAAATATGTACGTCTTCATTTTTATTTATATTCACGTGTTTTTTTTTTTTTTTTAAACTTTTTCTCGCTTATATCCGTGTTTCTTTCTGCGATTTGGAAGTTCTCCAAATATCCTCATTTTTTTTGTCTGTGTCACGTATGTAATCAGACGCATGTACGTGTAACAAAATTCCGTATCAGCGTTTCATTTTTTTCTAATTTGAGAGTTATTTTACTAATTAAGAGAGTTCGTTCATATCGCTGCCCATGCGTTTGAAACGAAGTGAAGGAACTAACAGCTGAATGAAACTGTCAATTTGTCAAATACAGGCATGCCCGTGCGTTTTCCAAAATTTTCTTCCCCTCATTAATACTAA